TTTGGTTATGCCACATACCTTGAACTCAGCCATCTTGTGACTGGTGCTCCCGGCACTCCCTAAAAAGTAAAATTGTGCCCACTAGTCCAAAAAAGGTTGGCAACCCCTGCTTTGGAGTGTGCTTTCCACACTTGACATCTGATTCCTTCTGACGTTGTGCTTTTGTAAAGCAGTTCCTCAGTAGGGGAGGCACTGTAGTGTTCGCGTTACAGGAAGACTGTATTCTTCAACTGTGTCCTGCAAATCTCTTGGAAAAAGGAACCGCTTTGGGGCAAGAAGAGTTGCACTTTACATTTTACACAAGCCTACATAGGGTATAGATTTGGATTCTTTTAAAAGCAGGATTTAGAGCCCATAATTATTGTTGTTATTGTTTTGGCTGACATGCAGCTTGCCCAGAGTTTGCCTGTTTTTAATGTTAGCTTCCTTTTCTGCCTTTGTGGGTTGGGCGCTGGGTGGAGAATGTTGGAACACGACATAGGTCCTGTTTGAAATACAGGTTTGGTAAACATAGTGTACGTGTCGGGTACAGCGGACAAGTCATGCGTCACATTTTCTGCGATTTTGCTAAAGTGTGCATTTTTTATTCTTCAGAATAAATCCGTTAAACCGTTCAAGATACCAAAAAAGAAATGGGGGGGGGGGACGGGACATAAATTACATCCTTGTAAAGCCCGAGCAGCTGAACATTATGATGTGATGTTCCTCACATCTAGTTCTTGTCCCACCTTCTCCAATTCTTTTTCCTCCTTGCACACATCTTACCTTCCAAAGGTCTTCCAACACATCTTCCAACCTTAGAGATTGTGAAAAAGTGGCCCATTCATGGCCAGATAGTTAATCTGCTAGAAGAATCCTTAGCTGCTTTTACTCTGTAACTTTTGAACTCCCTTCTATTGGATGGGAATTAAAACGGAAAGAAAAGGATTTGTCCGAGGCTAGATATTGAGTCTATGGCTGACCAGTGCTATGTCCAGAAGGACTCTTGTGCCATAGATAGTTGTGTGGAAAGGAGCGTTTTGGCAGGTGCCAAACAGTATGAAAGGCAGTATTGCTTAAGGGTTCTGCTTTTAAAATATGAATACAGTGGTACCTCAGGTTAAGTACTTAATTCGTTCCGGAGGTCCGTTCTTAACATGAAACTGTTCTTAACCTGAAGCACCACTTTAGCTAATGGGGCCTCCTGCTGCCGCCGCGCCGCTGGAGCACAATTTCTGCTCTCATCCTGAAGCAAAGTTCTTAACCCAAGGTACTATTTCTGGGTTAGCAGAGTCTGTAACCTGAAGCGTCTGTAACCCAAGGTACCACTGTACAGCAAATCCTTCACGCAAATCCTTCACAACTAAGTAACCACAATTGACATCTGTTCAACTGAGATCTGAGAGATTTATCATCCAGTCTGATATGTATGCTTTCCAATTTCCTAAGAGTAGAATCTGAGGGCTAAATGGGGGGTCATAGGCAATAGGTGGCAAGGACTCCGTGTTTGAAATTAGCCAGAAATTTTGCACCTGGCTTTCGACCACTTGCAACCAAGTGAAGATGCCTTGGTGCCAGGCTGGCGCCTGACATCTCCACCATCTGGAGGTGTGTGCCAGGGCATCATTGGATCTGGACTGTTTTCACACAATATTACCACATCCTATAGAATTCTGTGGGTTTATCTGTGGGTTTTATCTGTACAAATGGAATGAATTTCAGGAACCAAAATCCTTTTTCTGTGCTACCTAAGCAGGAGCGGTGAACATGGTTATAGTTAATTGTTGTAGCTTGTCTTCACTTACTGCACCCCCAATTCCCTGCTCACAGTTCTGAAGAATATCCCTATGTTATGAATGGTCCGTGTCACCATTAAGAAAAAGAGATATGAATAGGCCAATTTGTCCTTGGATCAAGTAACCTTTCTTCTTTAAGTTTTCTAAGTTCTGAACCTAGCTCAAGGTTGTCATCTAAACTAGCCAGATGTTTAACTGATAATCAATCACAGTCCATCATTTGAAAAATAAGACTTTGGAGCCCTTTCGCTCCCAAATGGCAACTAGACATAGACTGCAACTTTGGTTTAAGGAGCCATTTGGCACCTAGCTTATATATCTGAGTTTCTAAGGACTCTAAGGACTCGTTTAGAGATGGTGGAGGAAAGTGGAAGAGTAAAAGAACTGCAGGGGTCAGGAAGTTTCAGAATGGGGAGAAACACGACTGCCTTGCTGGCTATTCTCCAGTCAGCAGTAGCCAAGCAAATGTGCCCTCAGCAGATAAGGTCAGATGTCTCATTGCCCTTCTGTGAGACAGAAGGGAGAATGAAGGGCTACAGGGAACAATTCCTTTCTCCATGAACCACAACTCTGTTGTCCTCTGTGGTATCTGATCATGTGTCAGTTTCTATCCAGCACAAAAATGGCCTACTCCCTTTCTGGAAATCAATTTCCACTTGGTTTGGAAACAGAACATTACTGCATGTATGACTTTTACAGATAAAGTGGTACCTCTGGTTACGAACTTAATTCGTTCTGGAGGTCCGTTCTTAACCTGAAACCGTTTTAACCTGAGGTACAACTTTAGCTAATGGGGCCTCCCGCTGCCACGCCAGCCCATGATTTCTGTTCTCATCCTGAGGTAAAGTTCTTAACCTGAGGTACTACTTGTGGGTTAGTGGAGTCTGTAACCCGAAGTGTTTGTAACCCAAGGTGTTTGTAACCTGAGGTACCACTGTACACAAAATGAAGAAGGCTGGGGTGGTTGTGGTAGACGTTTTCTTCTTCTTTTTGTGGGCAGGGAACTCTGATGGGAAGCTCTACTGCCTGGATTAATACTGCTCACAGCAGGCTGGAAAACCCCCCCCAGCTTTGTAAAAGCAGTTGTATAAAACCTACCTGAAACCTTAATTAACAAAATCAGACATTTGAGGCGAGTGGCTGATAGCACAGATGCCTTCAGAGAACATAGCAATCCATCACTCAAGTGTTGTTTCCATTTGGCAGCCAAGGGCATTTCTAGAATATGTAGAAGGTTTGTTCTGATTTTGGCCTGGCTTTTGTTGCTTCAGCAGTTGAGAAACTAAGGGCAGGGGATAATTTCTGTTTATTAACCCCGGTGCAGAAATTCTCGGTCACCTAATGAGCTAGGATTCATTCCATTTACATTTAAACTAGGCTGATGGAGAAAACTTTGTTTATGGTCCTCCAGTGTCCATCACTGGACACAAGAAACCGGAAAAGAACACAGTAGCGGGAGAAATTGCAGTTGTTTGAATTTATTGCAGAAACCAAATTTCTTGCAGAAACCTTTGTTGGCGGAACAGTTGCTGACAATGTGAATGGGGCAGCAGGGAAACTTGGTAGCACCTGATGGATAAGTAGAAAGGGGCTGTGTGTGTGTCTTCTGAATGGAAGATGGATTCTAGAAGGAATGGGAGGAATTAATTGATGTGGATCTGATAGAAAGAAAGCACATAAAGCCTGAATTTTTGAAGGTTAGAGCTAGTGTGATGGTTTCAGAGAGTCGGACAAGGACTAGGGAGATATAGGGTTGAAGCTTCACTGGGTGAAGGGACAATTCATTATCTCTTGGCCCAACCTATCTTGCTGTGAGGATAAAATGCAGGAGCAGAGGAACCACATATGCCACCTTTTGGTGGTAACTTTTAAAATGGTGGTAGAATACCAGGTTCCACACCAAGGATGTTGATCAATTCAGGGCTGTTCAAATGATTAGTTTCGTGCTGATGTTCAGAGAATCTGTAATGAGCAGAGAATATCGGAACACATTTTCGCACTGTCTTAATACCATTCCTCTTGTCTTTTGCCATTATCCTTCTCTGCTGTTGCTGAAAGTGTCAACTCTGCCTACCTCATTCAGGGCAGAGGAAAGGAAGACTTGTCTCTGGTTTTGAGGCTCTCACTGCTGATCTGTTCAGCGTTACAGTTGCAGTAGTGTAAACAAATCTGAGTCTGGAGTGGGTTGGAGAGGCTGTGCTAGCCGTTTGTCTTTTTACATGATGAAAATTATGAGGCAATTGGCTGACTAATCTGCAAACTTTGAAGAGAGTTGAAAGTCTTGACTATTTTTACAGCCTGGAAGCTACAGCGTTTTGAGTTTAGTGAAGAAAGTTAGTTAAGCTGTGTTATTTGAGACAGAGCCAAGGCCGTGCAGGATAGTTATTTGCAGGCGTGGAAAGGAGAACATGATTCTCAGGGCTGGTTCACAAATGTATGCTCATCATTTGTCGAATACAGTATTGGGTTGTTTTTGCACGTCTTTGTCTACAGGTGTACTTGTTTATACCTGAATGAAACCTTTTGGGGATCATTGAGCTGAAGTCAAGGTTCATTGCAGTATTTTATTTTATTTTATATTATATTATATTATATTTTTTATTTTATATGTTATGTTATGTTATTTTTTTTCTTTTCTTTTGAGATGGGAAATAAGCAATGAGACAGAAAGCCAGAGCTTGCTCTTGCTCTCCAAGCTTTGCTTCGCTGGAGAGGCGCTGCACAGTTTTCCCTCTCTGCGCAGCGCCCCTTCAGTGAAGCGGGAGGAGAAATGGAGGGGGCTCCGTTTCTCCTGCCGCTTCGCTGAAGGGGCGCTGAACAGAGAGTGGGAGATTTTTTTTTCTTGTTCTTGCCCTGCTATGGTCCGGTGCGTCCTATAGAGCGAAAAATACGGTGCCTTCCTGCCGGAGCAGTACCTTTTAATCTACTTGCACTTTTTGGCGTGCTTTCAAACTGCTAGGTGGGCAGGAGCTGGGACTGAGCAATGGGAACTCATCCCAGCACGGGGATTCGAACTGCCGACCTTCTGATCAGCAAGCCCAAGAGGCTCAGTGGTTATATTAGCTAACACAAAAAGATTACATGCCCAAATGCCATGTGAGTCAATATGGAATCACGCTACTTAACCAATGATTATGGACTATTGGCGTGGCTTGGGTATGTTGAATGCCACTGCATTTCTTCTTCTTACTGATCTTTCTTTTCTTTTTTTCTGGTTCTACGTAGTCACAGCTCTATAAAAGATGCACTATTACCGGTATTCTTCTGCTGAAGTCAGCTGTTGGTACAAATACCTGCTTTTCAGCTACAACATAATCTTCTGGGTAAGTATCCAGTCTTCTTTCTTTTCTATTTTTGTAGAGAAGGGTCATCTTGCCAAATCTGCCATGTTTTGAATGCTCAGGTGCTGTGTACCTCAGATTGGATAGATTTTATGTTGACGTCAAATGCATTGACCATGGGATGGAGGAAGGTATGACAAACTGAGAAATAGCATATGGGTGACTTCAGCTGTCTTCTCCCTACAAGCCTTAGTTTTTTGGATTTTTAGAACCTGATAGCTGGTGTTGCAACTTTGTTGAAGTCTTACAAATCCAAACAAGGTTTTCCCCACCATTTAATCTCCAGATTTGGAAACATTTCACTTGCTTGGTTTTTTTATTGAGCTGTTGTTTTCAAAACACAGGGGAAGAGACAAAACAGCAGCAAAATAGCAACCTGGAGTAACCAGAAAGAGAGACCCCCTCTTGCTCACACATGCTGTATAGAGCAGCACTGTGATGCCATTTGAACAGTGGCTCTCTTAACAATGTATAAATGTGGGTAACTTGAAATCTTTCAGTTTCTTGGTTCCTCCTTCAAAAAAGGTCACCCCGTAAACCTTTGTTCGTTATGAACATCTTGCTGTCTGCCAGGAACATCATCTTCTCTGCACTGATATATTTCTGTTCCCTTGAAGCTTGAACCCTAACAGAGTTTGGTTGGGAGCTTCTAACCCACTTGGTAGAAGTTGACCAGCTACTAGCACATTCCCTAGACAGGTTCTGGCATGTTGTTCCTAAAGAAATGAGGGCTAGAAGCTCACATCCAGTCTCTGGGCACAAGGAAATGTTGTTTGAAAGCTTCTCCATGCGGTTAAGGTGATTCTACCACATTAACATAACCACTGTCTTCCTAGAGATTGGCATGATGTGGTTAAATTGGCCTCCAAACTTACCTTTTGGAGTGGCACGGTCTTCTTTTTCTCCCTCCCTCCACTACCAAAGGGATCTGACTTAAGAAGTCCAGCTTTCTACTCTCTGCAAATATCACTTGGAGCAAAGCCCATCCATGTACAACTTTGTGAATGTACCGTAGTCTGGGGTTTTTTTTTGGTTTTTTTTACCGTTTCATTTTCTGAGCACAGCAAGACTTGGTCCTGTGGACTTTAACTTGATTCCCATAACAGTTCAACTATTTATGGCATTGTAACCAGTTCTTTGATCCATTAAAGGATATCTTTTCTGTTGCCCTTTAACCGTACAATAATGGAATCCGGAAGCCCAGCTTCCTAGTAACTACCTTTTGTTTACCAACAGAAACAAGTAACACTGCAACAAATCTTCCGAACAAAGGCTGTTTAAGCCTCTGCAAGTATGTGCGTGTAATATAAATGTGGGGAAAGTCCACTGCCGAGAGTAGAGTTTTTCTTCTGTTTGAGGGATTTGGGGCGAGGTGGGTTGGAGGAGGGGGGCTGGGGTGGAGATTCCAATTTGGGGGGAAAGATGAAGTTTTCTCCCCCCCCCCGACCCTCTTTCAGTTTCAGAGTGAACAATGCACCTGTTCATATGATACTTCAAGGGCCCAATCCTGCTCTTCAAATGAAGCCTGATGCTGCCTCCACCATCCATGCAGTTGTATCTATGCCTGTACAACCCCTATATGTAGCCAAAATCACATGTTTGATTCCCAGATTTTTATATGGGGAATTAGCCCCATAATGTTGGCCTCCATGGTATAGTTCCATGTATGTAGGCCACACTGGGACATATTGTTTTGCCTGGATGGTGGAGGTGAGGCTGGCAAACCAACATAGGGACATTTGGGTGGTAGTAGTAGTAGTAGTAGTAGTAGTAGTAGTAGTAAATAAATAAATAAATAAATAAATAAATAAATAAATAAAACCCCATTCATCTGGCTGGGTTTCTCCAGCCACTCTGGGCAACTTCCAACAAAATATTAAAAACACAATAAAACACCAAACATTAAAAACTTCAAACCTCTTGAGTATTGTCCAAACCAGTGCTGTAACTTACGACTTATAGTTCTCTGATGCCACAGTTTGTAAGCCTTCTAACAGTCAGGATAGCTCAGTTGGTTCGAACATGGTGTCGATAATGCCATGGTATTTCAAGTTTGATCCCCATATGGGAAAGCTGCATATTCCTGCATTGCAGGGAGTTGGACTAGATAATCCTCAAGAACTCTCCCAACTCTAGGATTCTTTGAACCAGGGTTGTGACACAGTTGGTTTGGCACAAAGATAGTAAGTGAAAGTGCCTGTCCCCATATAAGGCTGACTGTAGTTAAAACTCTGAATGGGACCCCTCCCTAGAAGGGAAATCCTTGTGGTAGGAGAAGTAGGTGAGGATGCAAGATTCTCTGGACAGCGCGACAGCATTGGATAAGTTCCACTCGCTCCTTTGTAATGCTATCCGATGTAGTTAATTGGCAGCTCCTTCAGGGCAGCCTAGAGAAAGCAGTTGAGCCCATAAATGCGGAATTTCTCACAAATCCATTGCCACCTGCTTAAATGGCTTTTCAAAAGATCAGACAAATTCCTGGAGCATAGGTTTGTCGATGGCTAGTTGAGATATCAAAATGGAACCTCCCCTTTCAGAAACAGGTTTTTTTGGGGGGAGTAGCCAATATGATGTTGTCCAGAGGCTGTTGGAATCCAACTCCCATCATCAGCACCAGCCACCTAAACATTGGGGGCGGGGTGGACAACCAGTCGGTTACCCCTGTGTTGTATCTTTTGAGTACTAGCTAATGGCTGTTGCCTTTGTGAGCTTCTTCAGGCACTTTCCGGCTGCAGTTGGGAAGAGAATGCTGGACCAGGTGGAACTTAGTTTGATCTGTCAGGTCAACTCTTGCAAGCTAAAGATGGGGAAGTCTTGTGTCTATCAGCTAGAGCAGGGCTCAGCAAACTTACCGCGCCTCGGGCCGGTGTCTCCAGCGCCGATTGCACGGTGGGCCAGAGGGCGGAGGAGCGCATACCCATACGTGTGTGCACACCATATTTCCGGTGCACTTCCAGGTCGGAGGAGCACGGAAATAGCTTATGTGCATGGGCCTCCTACGAACCGGATGTGCACCGGAAATAACGCTTGCGCATGCGCACAAGCTATTTCCGGTGCTCCTCTGACCCGGAAGTGGGCAGCTGCGCAGCGCCAGTAAGCGCGGGTGGCAGGAGTCGCTGTGGGCTGGAAAAACGAGGCCCACGGGCCTTAGTTTGGGGACCCCTGAGCTAGAGGGAAAGTTGATGGGTTACAGGGGTTGTTTTCGCTGTAGGGGGAAGCAACAAGCTTTAAGGAAATATTGTAAGGGGTGCTCTTTTTGCAGTTTGTCTTCTCTTGTATATTGTTTACTACGAAGCTTGATGACTAAGCTCTTTAGCAATGAAACGTCTGATTGCCAAAACAACATCTGAGCACTGAACTACGGGTATATCACAAGTGGACTGGTATATCACAAGTATTTACTGCATTTTCAATTGTTCAAGATAGAAATCTATTTTGGAAAGAGAAGAAATGAGCACTGAACCACTGGATCTATTTATTACAAGCGAACTCTCCCCCCCCCCCCGATTGTTTAAGATTCAACCTATTTGGGGGGAAAACTACTTTTGCCATGTTTAAGGATGTAAATGATTTTCAGCAGAACCTGTTTAGGAAATTAGCTTCCAGTCATTAAGAGAAGAGAAATTTTAGGGAGTGCATGAATGTGTAAACCAGCCTATATAACAGGAGTGGCAAGTCGTCATCATCATCAGTGCTTTTTAAAAAAAAAAGTTTAGGGGTATTCTCATTTTGACTCAAGAAAATCACCATTTTATAGTTCAAATCAGGAAAAATAAATACAATAAATGGATAAAAGTACAAAGAGTCACAAAATGTTTAGGAGAATGCGTACTCCTGCGTCCCTCCAGAAAAAGCACTGATTATTATTATTATTAACCTGAGGACTGTATACACCCTGGGGTGTATATGCTAGAGTGTCGCCACCCACAGTCTCTCTCTCACACACACCCATACATGTGTGTATACACAAACTTCCCTCACTGCCCAGCTCTGTGTCTATGGTCCCCCTTCCATTTTTCTGACACCATCAAAATTGGAGAAGATTTACAGAGGGGGAGAGGGGGGCAGAAGAATGGCTTGATGGGCTGGATCGGGCCTCTGGGCTGGGAGTTAGCCACTACTGTTTGAGAAATAAGAATGAGAACAAAAAGCTTCTGTGAAGTGCACACCCACCCACACTGAAAGCTCAGCCCTCTGGCTAGTGTTTTTATATCAGATTTGAAAATCTGTGAGCTGAGCTGTTTGTGTGAGTTAAAAGAGTTTCCTCTCTGTGTGAGTTCCCCTCACCTTCCTTTGCTACTTACTCATCAGCCTTTGTGAAGTTCTAATGCATGCATTCAGCAGGAGATGGGGTCTCCTGGCTTAATGCAAACAGATGTGTTTTGTGTTTACTTTTCCTTTTTCCCTTTCATCCTTATCAAAGATACCACACTTGTCAGCCATTTCCTGCTGTTCTTCTGGTTTTTAGGTTGCGATAAAGCAAGGTAGCATTGTCCGCAGAGAGACCGTGGATAGTTCTGGCTTTCAGAAAGGTCTAGGACACAGTTGCATCAATTGTCCTTTGTGAAAAATAATAATAATAATCAAAGGTCTGGAAAGGAAAATAAAAAATCTTAAAGCAGGCTAGGAAATTAACTTTTGCTTTAAAAAATTCATGTCACAATGCATGTGGTGTTTTTTTTTGAGGTGTTACATAGGGTGTGTTGAATTTTCCAGCTTTCAGATTCCCAAAATGAGGAGCGCTAAAAAGGGTTGTAACATAACTTGGGAATTGAAGATATATTTGGGTTAAATCAATATAACTTAGTATTGCCTGGGAAGTAAAATGTTTGTAAAATTGTGTAGAAAAAAATGATTTTCAAGTACTTGTATTTATATTTTATAGTATTACTAATTTTATTTAGCATTACCTGACATTTTCAGAAGGTAAAAATTCCCCGAAAGCAGTTTATGTGCTTCTTCATTAAAAACAGACTTAGCAA